CGCTGCATACAACAGTCATCAACAACAATCTACCTATTAAACCATGGACTCACAAAGATCTCAAACATTACAAATGACTGATTAAAAGGATAACTGGCTATGTTTCTTAACCTTGCTAACCTAGCTCGAACTACATTAGCATTAATCAGGCAAAAAATAGCTTGATCTGATCTGCCTTATCCTCCATGAAGCCTGTTTTTCCTTTCCTGCCAAAGGTAGTAAATGTAAGCATTCCAAGCCAGACTCAGAATGAAAGTGATTAGATCCTTCCCTCTTAATATCTTCATTGCCCATAACAGTTCCTCCTGCCAAGCTCCCACTGATCCGCTGATACCACAAGCTGAAAGAATCTTTCCCTACAACTGTTCTGAGTAGACATAAGTGAAGACTATGTGATCTCTTGTTTCAAATCCTCGTGACAAAACAAACATTCAAGAGTTTTCTGATGACCCCATGAACTAATTCTTTGATATCATGTTTTTTTACCTTAACATGTTTTTTCACTCTTAATTTCTTTCTTTTCAACTTAACATCCACACTTTCAGTGTCCCTTGTTTTTCAAAATAATTCTTTTTTTTTTATCAAGTTGCTTTAATTTTCAACTTCGTGAAACAGAGACTGAAGTGGAAACCTGACCTCCAAAACCCAAAAGATAGCATATTTGCATTTTCTCCATAGTGATTAATTCTCCCATCTGAGGACTAGGGCGTTTTATTTTACTCTCTTGGATGCTCAAGCAAATACAAGTGTAAGTTTTACACTCTAGCTCCTTAATTTTCTACCTCAATCCAAGTCTAAAGATAACTGCTAAAACATAAAGTGGCAAATAGAATAAGCATTAAAACTTAGATGTTTTTGAAACTCATGATTGTAATATAATAGAATAAGATAATATTATGAATAGAATTAAATTAAATAATATCATTCTATCTTGTGTTTGATGTGTGTAAGGATTAAAATTAGATAATTTACTTATTGATCAAAATTATTTTTTCTCAAAATTTATACAATTTAAATCATTGATAAATTTTTAAGGTTATAATAAGAAATAGTAGTTCAATTATAGATTAAAAATAATTTTCTCTACTTTTTGGAAGATTGAATTATCCTTTATCAGGAGAATGATCAATCTTTTTTATAATCTTATTCCTTTTTTTAGATATAAATAAAACATAATATAAAATGATTATCATCAAATAGACCAAACATTACCTTAATCTATGATAATGTTTTTGTTTTAATTTATTTCAATATCATGTATTACTTTTATGTTATTAAATCAAACTTCTAAAAAACGAGTCAATAATATCTATCTACATTCTATAGTATGTATGTTGATTTAAATGGTGAAATTTTATTCCATGAGTTAGAAAAAAAAAAAAGCAACATTAATCTTTCAATTCTCTCTAATTCAGAAATAAATAAGTTTGAATTATGAATTTGTAATATAACTTTTGAATCCACCTCTCCCTCTCAAAATGCTGGAAGAATGTAAGCCCACAATCTCATCAAGTGCAATGCAGGAAAGCTTCACATTTTGCGTTCCAAAAGTACAAAAAAGCACGTATTGAGTACTACTGCAAGACCCCAAGAATAATTAATGGGTTTAATCAGAACCTAACTTAATCTATCAACTAACAAATTAGCCGATTCTTTAAAAAAAAAAAAAAAAGAAAAAACCCTTAAGCTTGACTATTTTCAAAGGAAATTTTCACCTCAAGACCATGCTACCAGCATCAGAATTTGAGGTGATATTCATTCCTGGATTTGATTTGCTGCCCCATATTGCTCATGTTTCTTTCTAGTATTGAGAGAACATATCAGCATCTTGAAATCTATGGCAATCGATGACACTTATAACTAATCTCTCAAAGTTAGTTGCAGTACAAAAATAAGGCCCCAGCAGATGCAGCACTCTAAAGTAAGTATTCAAATAGCGATCGGATAACGGTGTCGCGGCCGCTATTTCGCGATTGCGTCACTATCTGTCACCGTTATTAGAGAAAAAATGAAAGAGAATTTGAATCTTGTCTATAGCAGATGAATCACAATCGTGATTTGCGATATAACGGTGAATAGCAGCAATAGCGATCCGCTATTGCCGTTATTCCTATTTTCATTCAAAATTCAAAAAAAAAAATTCATTTGATTTTTTTTAAAAACTTAAAATAAAAATAACAAGAAGGAAAATAAATATCAGTTTACAAATTCAGAAAAAAAAAAAAACTGCACAAAACTAAACTTTCAAAAAATCAATTCTTCAAGTCGAACTTCAATCAAAATCAAGTATATGCAATTTAAAGTAAACAATTAATTTAACACTCAAATTATCTTTTTTTTTTTATGTCCAAATTTGCCATGATTTTGTGTGTTTGGGATTAGATTGGGCTATGTTACATTGATAGAAGAGGCAAGAGTTGCTAGGACTTAAAATAAGAAACAAGAGATGAGAGTGACACTTGAGGTTTACAGAAGTAAACAGATAGTACACACCAAATAAAAAGAGAATTGAGAGATGGGAATGAGGATGAAGGTTTAGAGAAAAAAAATTATTGAATGCAAAGTGAAGGGATAAGAAGTTGTGTGGGTCTGTGCAATTTAGTCAAGAGACATGGGAAGTAGACTTGATGTTATTATTGTTGAAAATCGCCCATAACATGGAGGCTGTCAAGTTTGATTTACTGTAAGTTCATAAAAAGCAATTCTTTTTACTCATAAATAATAATGCTCTTACTTAATTTATGAATACCTAATCACTTATTATTTGATTTATGCATAATATAGTTTGATAATAATTTGATGAATACGGTAATTAAATAATTAAATATATTATTCGTTATGATTATTTATTTTTCACATATTTATTTATCTCTTTTTATTTTTTAATTATCATATAAATAAATTTTTAAATATGAATATTTTACTATAAATATTTTTTCTTAAATAAATAAAACACATGATATGATATAAATTACTTTAAAAATCATAAAATAAGAGGTTTTATGATTAATAATTAAAATTATTATATTTTATAACAAGTTGAGCGAAATTTAAAAAAATTCACGATCGCAATAGTCACAATGACCGCGAAAATCTTCGTTATATCCGTAACTGTGATAAACGCGATGCGATAAAAACGTGATCGTTACCGCAATTTAAATCTCTACTCTAAAGTTACATTTATTTTGAATTTTTTATCGTATTTAAAGCCATCTAGGTGGATCCTTCAATGTAGAGATATAAATTTTCATGAAATTAAAGCTGAGAATTCAGAAATGTTGGGAAAAGAATTTGTTGAATCTACTCAAATGAAATAAGCAAACCCAAGTGCAGGTTCGGAAGCAACTATGAAAAACGAGTTTACTGGAGACCCGTCGGCATGGTTTTCGGCAATGAGGAGATCGGAATCAACAGAATTTGGAAAAAAAAAATTTTATGAGAAAAGGTTTTAAATAAAACTGAAGAAGCAAAGAAGAAGTGAGAGCAAGCTTATTTTTGGTTAGACCTAAAACACAGAAATTACAATTTAGCAGAAGTAAGGAGAAATCTCCGTAAGCCAGACGAATGATATTAACTTTCTTTCTTTTTTTTTTTCAAGACAATTTAGTAAGGTAGCATAGCCCTTTTTTTCTTCAACAATTTTGCAGCAGAAAAACAATTGAATGAAGAATTTTTCAAAGATAAAATTTGAGAACTGTTAGCTCAATTAATGATAAACGGCGCAGGTAATTCACATGTGATAAAAAGAGTCTTGATTTAAGTACATTCATAAATGTTTAATTTTTAATTAAATTAAATTAAAGATGATACTTTTTTAAAAAAATAATTATAAATTAAGCTACTTTAAGTTCGTTTCTTTGTATAAGTAAAATAAAATTATATATTAATAATTTAAATATTAAACAATATAAAAGAGAAAAAGAATTTTATGATTATTTATATTTTGAATATTTACATTAATTGAAGTTCATGACAATATTTACATTAGTTGAAGTCTATGATGACGATGAAATATTAAACTTATTCATTGATGATTCTTTGTTTGTCATAATCATTAAATCACAAAAAAATAAGTAACTTTATTTATAATTCAGCATTCAACATAAAAAAAATATCTAAGCAAAAAGTTTAACAATGAAAAACAAATAAAACAACCTATCACATTATTTATATTGTCAATGAGTGATGGATAGAGACACTATTATGTTTTCATATTCTAGATAAGGAAACATTAAAAACTAAATTTGAATCCTTGTTAGCATTTTACTATACAAAAATGGATACAGATAGCAAAATTAAAAATATTAATAAATAAAACAACAGAAGGCAAACACGTAAATAAATAAAAGAAAAAAGATGATATTAATACTCAAATTTATTTTTTAAAGTTTCCTTTCCACATGTTTTTGTTGTTTTCACGAAAATGCTATTAAGTTCTAAAATTAGTTGTTAAGAACTTTACAAATTAAAAATATATATATCAGTTATCAATTACCATTAAAATTCTCATTACAAGAAAACATGCATTTAATAGTTTTTTTAGTGACGTTTTCAAACGAATGTCACTAATTACACTGTCTTTATAAACTTAACTGTATTTTTTATCTAAATGCCTCTAAAAAAACATTTAATGGTGTTTTAAACAAAAATATCACTAAACTTTAAAATTTAGGAGCATCTATAATTGAAAATGTCACTATACTTTAAAATTTAACGATATTTATACAATGAAATACGTTAAATTATCAAAAAAATTTATTATTTATAAAATATAATTTGATTCAATTATTAACTATGTTTAAATATAAAATATCACAAAATAATTATAAAATATTATTAAAATTTAAAAAATAAATTATTAGCGACATTTTAAAATAAACATCTCCATTTTGCGAAAATTATTGGCGTTTGTTGGTACTTACGCCATTAATTAATCCACAAAATTTTGAAATTGACCCAGCCCCTTTCGTATCGACGATAACCGGACACCACCCAGAAAACGTCCTCCGTCTCCCAGGAAAACATGGACCAACTTCAAAAAGTGTTCAACCAATTCAACGCCAACAAGGATGGCAAGATCTCGGTAATGGCGACATCTTGGAAACAATGGGGTCTACCTACACAGAGGGGGAACTCAAATGTGTCATGGAAGACATCGACACTGACAAAGACGGCTTCATCAACCTCTCTGAATTCTGCTCCCTCTGCCGCTTATCTTCCGATGCTGTCACCGCCGCCTCGGAGCTACGCGACGCTTTTGATTTGTACACTCAGGACAAGAACGGCCTGATTTCGTCGAACGAGTTACATCTGGTTTTGAATCGATTGGGGATGAAGTGCTCGGCTGATGATTATGTCAGGATGATCACGTCCGTTGATTTCGACGGTGATGGAAATGTTAATTTCGAGGAGTTTTACAAGATGATGAGCGCTTCAATGCCGAGTAATGACATCTTATTCACCGGGAATTAAAGCCACAGGTAGTGGTGCTTGATTATCATAGTTTAGTCGTGTAAATGTTGATTTTCTAATTAGATTGTGTTATTGGGTATGAAGTCAAATCATTTATATGAGAACCCCTAGTGCAGACCATGTTGTTTGCTTTGAGAATTTATATCGTTAAAAAAGAATCAAACATTTTAGTTTTGTAGGGCTCTGTAGTGTACTAGCTCTTATTGCATCTAGTGTCTCTGTTTAGAAATTTAACTGGCATCTAATATCTATAGTTGTCATGTGATGAAGGCTGAATCTTTGGTTTATCAATTTATTTCTTATAAATTTGTTGCAACTTGCAGAACTTACTACCGTCAACTAAAGGAGCAATTTTGCAACTGAAGATAAGAGATTTTGGTTTTGCAAGGTAACCATTTTAATTGGCCTTTAACAAATTGGCACAAGACTTAGCTTATTGACATTGCTTGACTTCGATATTTATGAAATTAATCAATAATTAAAAATATTAAAATCAATTTTTTCAAATAAAAAATTTATTAATAAATAATTGAAAATTAATAAAAATAATAGTAATATATCAAGTGATTTTTTAATTGAAATATATATTGACTTCTCAACTTTTTTAATTTACTGTATTATATATTTAATTACTAATTTGCATATTAATTTTATTTATTTAGTGTTATTCACTTATTTAATTCCAAATGAATATATTTATTTATTATTTATTTATGTTAGAGTTTAAGATTTTGAAGTGATATTTTAGAAAAATATTAATTACTTGTGGGTATAATTGAAAAAATAATAATATGATTATTTTCCAAATTTATTAAGATAAAATTAAAACATTATTTTCCAAATTTATTAAGATTATTTTAACCTTAAACTTATAAAAGCATAGATAAAATTGTAATAAAAAAATATCAATAAAGATAAAATGTCTAATGTTGGATGTGGTGAACCACCACATCCATTCCTCAGCAATGGAAAAACGCACTCCCACTGGTTCAACATAAGCTCAACTGATTGGTGATTATGTCACTTGAATAAAAGCAACGGTACAATTGCACCTAAAAAATGCTTAATCATGAGGACACCAAAAATAGGTAGAGGAAGTTTTAGATGCATCCAAGAAGTTAAACTTCAATCAATTGGGGGTTCCGATGCTTTTGAAATAGTTTATACTGATGAATTTAATTTGAAGTATTGAAGCATGATTGCTCATAAAAATGAGTAACCATTGGCCCTTTGCAGGTGGATTTTCTTACCAACATGCTAATAAGATTTTCACTTTTAACTGATTGTACTTTTTAGTTTTTCTGAACATATACTGGTTTCGCTGGCAGCAGCAATTTTTCGTACAATATCTGTTCTTGTATTTGGCTTTGTGTTCAAGCGATTTTCATTGTTGTTTTGATTCCAGATGGGTCTTGTCACAAAAGTTTTCTCTAAAACAGAAAAGAAAAGAGGGTGATTGAAGAAAAGTGTGTCAAATATTGGAGCATAAGGTAGCTCCATTTAGAATTTGGTTCCACTTAATAGAAATAGCAAATGGTGAGGGAAGGATACTTGCATATTTTTCCCCATCACATCCAAATATAAGGTGATAGGCCCAAAAACAAAATCCTTTGGCCAACAAACAATGATACAGATACTACTAGTGATCAAATATTCAGATTGTTGAATTTGGTGTTTCAATGTATTAACCGTGTAGTTTTTCTCAAAAGTTTATTTATAAGCATTATAAATGTTTGTACATGCAATGTCTTATATTTAATGTGGATCTAAAGAGCAATAACACAATAGATCTATATTTCAAACATGATTAATTTATGATTCAGTGGTTAAGGGACAGGGTTGCCCTTGGCTTTTATAGTCTTCTCACGAGCATAGTGGTTTTAGGATCGTTGAGGATTCTTTTGTTTCTTCATATGGTTTTACTTGTTCCTCCAAAGCAATATCAAAGTACTGTCTTGTCCTTTTGCTTTCTTTCTTAGTTTAGGCCTAGGATCATGAAATTTTTTGTTTGGTTGGACCATGTCAGTGTTATTGGTTTATCAATCGCTTACAATATTTATGTCCATTATGGATGCTTTGCCTATTTTCTGTCTTGTAAGGAGACTTGATCATTATTTGTTAATTTTTCGCATAATATAGGAAAGATTTTATTTTGGAGATCATGTGTTGCCGTTATTTGAGGCTGGGATTCCTCTTCTAAAGCAACGTCTTCACCAGCTTCCTGATGCTGATAAGGTAAGAATATCACGTCCAAATGTTGCAAGCGGCAAACTATAATTTTCTGTGGTCATGCTGCTCGTCAGCATTAGAAATGTTCCCTTATGCTAGGTTGTTAAATCCTCTCCAATTAAATTGAAGCAGTTGATATTGCAAAAAAGACCAAGGACCCGCTGAGAACAGCTAAACAGCTGGCCGTGGAGGCATTGAACAGATACAGTAAGGATGATATCTCCTGTATTGTAGTTCGTTTAAAGGGTAAACGAAAACTGAAAAAGTTCCACAATTGCATAAGATACGAATCAATGGGCAAACGCCATCCAGCAATCTCATGGTGAAAATTCACCTTCCAATATTTCTCCTCTTTTGTTAAATTAATATTGTAGTAGTTAGGGTCGTGCGGCTTGATATTTGCTTTACTTCTTCAATTTGTAGATTCGTTCCGTCATTTTTCTGTATAATTTGCATTGCACCTCCGAAGACATAGAAAATTACCTGGATTTTTATAAAGCTGCGTGGATGCATGCGGTCACTATACTAGCAACATATTTTATGGCTGAAAAAGCTCCAATCTCTTGAAACCAGGTTCGTCTCCTTGGGTCTTACAATATGAATAAGAAAATGGGTAAACCATAAACGGTCTTTTAATTCTCTCCGAGTCATTATATTTTAATTTGTTTATTGGCCATGGATATATATATATATATATATGTATATTATTTCCGTTTTAATATAAGTAGTTGCTGTAGAACCTTCTTTCCATGACAATGCAATTATTGCTCGTATGAGTCACAACACTGACACTTTATATAGGTAGGTAACTATTCTAGTCAGATTATAATTTTATTGCAGGAATTCGTAATTCTAGATTTTCATGAGTTACAATTTGTTTTTGCAATGCAAAGAGCACGGCTGTTATAAAGGGATCTCTTTCCTAGAGATCCTGCCTCGTACAATTTATATTGCATCAACTGCTTATAATTCTATTTCTATTGGGGAGTTTATGCAAGCAGGTTGGGACATGATTCATGTATGCTCTTAAAATTCGTCACATGCATAGCAAATGTTATTGTATTAATATTTTTGAATATTATTGTATTAAATTTTGTGGTTACATGCATATTGCAAAAAATTATGTATTTAAATATTTATAATATTTAATTTATGAATTTTAATTCATTTTTATTTATTTTAATTTTTTTTATTTAATTATAATAGTAATTATTAAAAAAAATTAAAAAAAAAGATAAATTTCTTAATTTAACGACATTTTCTCTTAAAATGCTGTTATATTTTCTAACGTAAATATAATTAACATTTTTAGCAGTGATTTTGATAACGTCACGAATCATTTAATTGTATTTGTAAATGTCATTAAACATAAAATAAAAAAAAATCGTTAAAGACATATTTCCATGTAGTGTCTTCTACATGGATCGGATATTCTAACGCCATTTGATTAGACATCGCAACAAGACATCACAACGTTCCATTATGACTTATCTTTCTATAAAATTTTATTATTTAATTGAATATAAAGTAATTAAACTGATCTTTTTCAAGAAAAATAGGCTTTTCATGCAGAAGCTCGGCAAAGATGGAACCAGCAAACAACATATCAATAGCTGGATTATACTTTGTTGCTCTAAGAAATAGCTCTGAAGCTCTGTGAAAATAACAAAAAATGAAAAGTAAATATTGCATTAGTTAAAAATTATGATTGCATTTCTCATGTTTCTCTTTAAATAATCACATTTAAAGAAAATTCTCAAAACATACAAATTTGAAACTAATCAAAAGTTAAAATCAATGATAATCTTAAAACTATACCTTAAATTAAGGTAAACAACTTCAAATAAGAATTCTTATTAACAAATGGTGTAAAGCTAGTTGTATATATAAATAAATATATATATATATATCTCTAATTACCATAATACTTTTAAAGAACAATAACCATACAAAAAACAATAAATAGTAATTAGACAAATATATTTAAACGACAAATATATAGAAATGAATTAACTTTGCAAGCTCACTTATCAAAATTTGAAGTAAAGGCAAACAAACACTTATACCCATGAAAGAAAAAAATAAAAACACATTAGAATACTAAGTTGGATAAAGAAACAAATTATTAAGAAGTTGTACATCTACTCACTAATCCTAAAATTGATGTATTAGGCTAGTTATATAACATTATCTATTATAGATAATAGGCAACACAAATAATAACACTGAAAATTGCTTTTGATATTGATATTTTGTTTTAGCAAAAGTCTATCTACTTGTTAATTGCATGCAACGTATAGATATCGCATCAACAAAAAAACACATTTATTTTTTGTATTTCCAATAGACATAGCACACAACAAAAAATGATTTTTTTTCATTTAAAAAATTGCAATAAGAAGTTCATGATTGAAGCATCGATAATAAGTTAAAGAAACTAAAGATAACACAATCAATTAGTATTGTAATGTCAAGAATTGAAAATGGAAAAAGGAGTTACATGAAAGAACACACACTATATTCATTTTTTTGCTACATTTACAAAATATATTAGGTGCAAAGTAGTTAAAACATATCTCCATGAAATACGAAGTTTCACAACTTTATAACTAAACTAACTAACCAAAGCTTCATTGATAGATTACGAAAAGATATTGTTCCTAGAATAGAGTATCTAAAAAGTCTTATGTTCATACAGTTATAAAGTAAACGAAATAGATACATAAAAAATAATAGACAAAATAAACAAATATACTATTAGAGGTTGTAAACTGTTAGCTGAACTTGACATTCCTCCAATAAGCATAAGCAATATTAATTTATTTAAATTTGAAAGGGCAATTAGAATTTTTCCTTAAGAAAATTAGTTATATGCTTAATAAATGAGAGCATGAACT